ATTTGGGGTTGTGCAACCAAAGTCACTTCTCAACACACTGGGGACAAGGGGGAGCTTCTCAACCTAGTAAACATCCACAAGGACCTGCAGCGGACTCCACACTCACTGCTGGTAAGTTTCTCTTAGGTTGGAGACTTGCAGAGCAGGGACACTCCCTCTCTGCCTCAATGTCACAGCACTGGAAGTCCTGGCTGACCCATTAACACAGACAAGAAAACAAAGAAATTCAGCTGTGTTCAAGAAAAACATGATTGCCTTTTACAGAAAATTACAAAGAATCAACAACAGGTATAAAAGAACACTCTTACAATTCATTTGTGATCATAGAAAGGTTACAGAATATGAGGCCATGGTGTAAGATTCAATAGCCTTCCATTATATCAGTAATGGAAAGGAAATTAATGACACCATATCATTTACAATACCACTAAAATTATGTCCATAGTACTTAACCATAGGAGAGACATATGATATACATGAGAAAAGCTACACACCTCTGTGAAAGGAGAAAAAACTCAGCCGATGGTGAGATCTCTGTGTTCACAGGGGGAGACTCAATACTATCAGCCTCTAAGCTTTCCCCCAGATGACCTTTTCATACAACACAATTTCAATCAAAATTCCATCTAGTTCTCTGATGGATATTGACAAACCGGTTCTAAAGTTTACACAGAGAGGCAAAATACCCAGACCAGTTAGCACAGTGATGAAGAAGAAAGGCAGAGGACTCACATTACTGGACTTCGAGACTTCTCACCCAGCCACAGTCATCAAGATGTTGTGAGACTGATGACATGGAAGAAAACAAATCAATGGGCCAGAAACAGATCCACCCAAACTACCTTTGAAAACCAGCAGAGGCAATTTAAAGGACAAATTTCAGCAAATGTATCTCTAACGACTGGGCGGACACACAAGAAGAAATTGGGTCTAGACGTAGACCTCGTGCTTCACAGAGAAATTAATGTGAAATGACTCAGAGAAGTAAGCCCTTCTACAACTGACAATTCAAACCGTCAGCACTTTGTGGACTCCATAGGTTTTAGAAGACAGAGAAGGCCCGGAACTGCGAGAAGATAGTGGGCGTGGGGCAGTGTGATTGAAAAGGGGAGAATGGCAGGTAGATTTGACCAACACAAATTATATGCGTGTATGAAATTCTTAATCAGCAGAAAGATAACTTCTAGAAGATGGGACAGGAGAAAATAAGTGACTTAGATTTGATGTGAACTTTATAGATACAGCATCAAAAGCACACACAAGTAAAATAACTGATAGATTAGATTTCATGAAAACCAAAACTTCCACTCTATAGAAGATGCTGTTGAGCGAGTGATCAGGCACAGATTGGAGGAAATTATTTGCAGAACACAAATCTGAAAAAAGACTCATATGCAAAATATGTCAAGAATTCTTAAAAGTCACTGCAGAAAGGTTAGAATTGGACAATAAAAACAATAGCGTGCAAGACCCAAAGGCCGCACACATACATCACCTAGCCTTCTTTACAGTACTAGTGAGTGGTTTGGAAGGGGAATTTTGAAAACAATTACATTCACAATAGCCTCAAAAAAAAAAGGAGAGAAAACTAAGAATGAAGTAAGAAGGCATAATGACTGTACAATGAAGTTAGGAAGCACTGCTAAAATAAAATAAAGAGGATGTAAGGAAAAGAAAGCTTACTCATAGGTTCATTTAAGATGTAAATACTAAAGCAACCTACAGACTCAAATCCCTGTCCAAATCCTAGTGTCATGTTTAGTAGAAACAGAGGTGTACATCCTAAAATTTACTTAGAATATCAATGAACCCTAAAAAGTCCCTATAATCTTGAATTCCAAAATCTGCTACTAATTCACAGTAATCAAAACAGTGTGGTGTTGACATAACAATAGACGACTAGTGAAACAGAACAGAGATCCCTGAAATAAATCCTACCACATATGGTCCAATGATTTTTAAGAAGACTGTCAAGAGAATTCGATTGCTTTCCCAGGAAATGATTCTGGGAAAACTGGATATTCTCATGCAGAAGAATGAACTTGGGTCCTTTCCAAGCACCACATTGAAAATTTAACTCACAATGTATCAAAGACCTAATTTGAGATCAAAAACAATAAAACTCTGAGAAGATAGCATGGTGACGATGCTGGTATTAAGAGTGACTTTCCGTGCGTGGCTCCCAACTCACAGGTGGCAAAACAAACAACGAAACAACGCTGCACAACTTAGACTTTGTGGTAACTAAAAAGTTTTAAAGGATAGCATCTGCAGAATGAAAGGGCAGTCCAGAGAAAGGGAAGAAGTACTTGCAATCATAATGAATTCGTATCCAGAACAGAGAACATCTGCAGCTCAACAACAAAAATTAATGACTTGACTCAAACACAGGCAAAACATTCCTCCAAAGAGAGCATGCACACAGCTGATAAGTCCATGAAAACATGTCCATCGCCAGTAAACATTAGAGCACTAGAAACAAACGTTGCGATGAGTGACTACTTCCCATCTACTAAGATGTCTACTAGAGAAGACTGTAACAAGGGTCTCGAGGACGTGGCGGGAATGGAGCTTTGTGTGTGGCTGCTGAGCATGTCAAATAGGAAAGCTCTGTGGGACGAGTTCCTAAAATAAACAAAGACATGATTACCGTAGCGTTCAGCAATTCCACTTCTGGATAGTTACTCAAATCTAAAGTGGGTATTGGTGAGACACTTGCCAACCCATGCAAATCAAAAGGTTATTTGCAACGAAAGCATGGAAAACTAGCTCGATGTTCATAGATGGATAAGCACACTGCCAAATCTAATGTGGAATCTCACAAGGCCTGGAAGAAAGAGAGAAACTGTGGTATGCGCCAACAACATAGAAGTCTCCTGAGCACATACTGCTAAGTGGAATAAGGCAGTTGAAGAAGGTTTAAATGCATTGTGCATTTGCTTACATGAGGTGGAGAAGTTGAAATCACAGAAGGGAACAGTGTCAGTGGATACTGTGACACAATGGGTGAGATCAGGTGGCTCTGCAGGGTCAGGGAGCAGGTGGGGATGGGGCTGGTTTATTAAACATAGAATGTTCATCACAAAATAGAAAGAGTCATGGAGACTGATTGCAAATTCATGTGAACTACACACTTTATAGTTAAGAATAATAAATATGAATACATATATGTCCATGAAAAATAGTAATTAATTTTTAAAAAGTAGAGAGTGAGCTATTAAACTAGAAAGTGCATAGAGGAACTTTACATGCCATATTGCTTAGTGAGAGGAGCCAGCCTGGAAGTGCTGTAATTTAAGACTCAATGGTGGTGATGCCGGAGTGGTAAGAGACAGGTGAGGTCAGCAATTTGCAACGTGGTTTCCCTCCACATCTTCCTATGACCTCCCACCCACTGTGTGTCATGACGGGCTTTGGAAAGTCGTTAGCAAACAGACCCAAACTTCCAGAATCTTCATGAACTCATGGGCTTCTCCAAATGATTTCACCGACTTCAGGATCAACTCCACTGCAGATTTCCCTCCCTTGCAGGATCCCCCCAGTGGAGGGATACCCCCACTAAAGATCTTTCCCTATAAGATCAACCCCCTCCTGCCACACGATCTCACCCATTGAATTATATCATCCATTGCAGGATATCCACTGCAGGATTCCCACAGTGCAGGATCTCGTGTTCACTGAAAGGTTCCACACACCATAGAATCCTTCTACTACAGGATCTACCTCACTGCAGGATCCCACCTACTGTGGAATTTCATGCTCACTACAAGATCTTTTCCACTGTAAGGGTCCACATGCTGCAGAAGCAACTGCAACCAAGCCACTTCAGGGTCTCACCTACTACACAGTCTTCCTTCACTGCAGAATCCCTCACTGAAAGATCCTACACACCATAGGAACCCCCCACTGTGGTATCCACTCATTGTAGGGTCACACCCACTATAACATTGCCCCTCCATTGCAGGATCCCACCCACTCAAAATCGTACCAACTACAGACTGAGTATCTCTAGGACTTTGAGACTTTCAGACATTGAGCCAAGCATACTTGATGTAATTCTATTAACCCAGATGTTTGGAAGATGAAGACAGTTGATCTTAAATCCAAGGCCAGCCTGTTTTACACAATTAGTTCAAGACTTGTTGGGCAACTAAGTTAACCCTATCTCAAAAGAGAAAGAAGGAAAGAAAGAAAGAAAGAAAGAAAGAAAGAAGGGAGGGAGGGAGGGACGGAAGGAGGGAGGGAGGGAGGGCGAGAAAGAAAGAAAAAAAAGAAAGAAGGAAAGAAAGAGGGAAGGGAGGAGAAACAAAGGAACGAAGGAACAAAGAAAGGAAAGGAGCACTGGTCAGAACATGTAGGTGTTCATAGTGGTAGAGTACATGCCTAGCACATGCAAGGCTAGGTCTAACATGTATAACATGTGGTAACAAAAGGAAGGAAGAAAGAACTAGGAAAAGGTAGAAATTTGCAAACTCTGTATCCTGTCATTCCTCCAGGATTGTTTAGATCCCAGCTGGGTTCTGAAGAGCCCATCTGCTTTAGGGTTGCAGTGCCTGGTGTAATAAAGGCCAAAGCCAAAGACTTAGCCTATCTCCAGCCACCTGCAGAACCCGGCCTCTCTTTACTCCTCTATGACTTTTAGTTCCTAATTTTTTTCTTTCATACAGATGTTTTTCCATTTCAAAGAAATGAGAAGCCCTTTGTCCCGTGACATCATTTCCTCCGTGTTGCTGGGCTCAGCTGTATACCTTTCCACCTCAGTTTCACAGTCTAAGCAGGCAGGAGACAGAAACCGCGCAACTTCCTTCCGGCTGTGAGGAAATCACCCCAGGATCTGGTGCCTACTCAGCACAGCCTGGAGGATCTTACTTCTTCCTTCAGTCGGATCCTAGCAAGTTCCCTGCTCCATATAAAAGACAGATGTGGCCTCCAGGGGAGCAGAGACGGTGGTGCTACCTCCTGAAGCCTCCAGCTTTCCTTCCAAAGCCTTTGACCTCAACATGAAGATCTCCACAGCGCTTCTGTGCCTGCTGCTCATAGCTGGCACCATCAGCCCACAGGTGTGGGCTGGGCCAGGTGAGGCATTTCCTTTCCCAGTCTCTCAGCACAACTCAGGACTCCTGATAGGTCTGCTGTTGGAGAGACAGGGAGTGCAGGAGAAATTAGAAAGAGCCATTGTGACTAGCCAGAGAGCCAGAACCAAGTATCCAGACTACAGAGGCCAGGCCCTGTGATGTCTCCGACCCCAGCTATGGGACAAGATGCCGTAGGCAACCACTAAGGATACTGCCCTAGCCTTGTTTGGAGAGGTGGCCCAAAGTGGCCTTGTAGGTGAGAAGGCCATCTCAAGCAATAGAGGAGTGACAGGAATGATGGATTAAAGAAGAATTTTGGAGTCTTAGTCCAGAGTGGGTACCAGAACAGTAGGCATGTGTAGATAGTGGAGAAGCTTCTCAGCTTAAAAGTAGGTTGACTCTAAGCCATCAGGAGCAAGGGGATGGACAGTAAGTTCTTACAACTAACTTTCCTGTGTCAGAAAATGATGAGCCTTTTTTTTTCCATACACAGTCAATGGCCAGGGCTTATTCAGTAATATTCTGTGATTGGGCACTAGATATAGAACTCAGGAGCCGTGACTCTTAGGGACAACCCAGTCTTCTCCGTCCCTTGTGAGAGCACCTTGCAGTGTTTCCTAACTCTCTCTTTATAAAATCATTTTCAGATGCGGTGTACATCCCAGTCACATGCTGTTTTGAAAGGGCTAAGAAGATCCCCATGAAGAGGCTGAAGAGCTACAGCAGAATCACCAGCACCAAGTGTCCCTGGGAAGCTGTGGTGTAAGTAGGCCACGCCCAGCACCATGGGCTAGTTTCCTATCTGAGGAGAAAGGGAGAGAGAAGTCTGGACTCATAGCCATGAGTCAAGCAAATAGAACATATTACTCACCTGGTCTTTTCCTCACCTAGATAAACTAAGCCAATTGGAGAATCCATTAATATAAATCAGTTTGAAGAGATTATACCCAATTCATTTATCCAGAAAATTGGAAGGATTGATCTAGCAGAGCAAGAACAGGGCTTCTTCCTGCATCTTCTTTCTTATACCATTATCAATCTTCTCTCCTGACTCTCCATCTATAGATGAGTAGAAAAGGTCTGAGGACCAATAGGCCATGCATGCCCTGAGCAGATTGCTGAGAGCACTCTGCCTAACCCCACCACACCCTCTCCCAACAGCTTCAGGACCATACTGGATAAAGAGATCTGTGCTGACCCCAAGGAGAAGTGGGTTGAGAAGGCCATAAAGAACTTGGATCAGAAGTCTCAATCTCGGAATCCTTGAACCTTCATGTCTGAGATTCCCAGGGAAATCTTCTGTACTCTCCCCTAACCTTTCCCCATGGGCAGTGTGATGGTAATTTATTATGATGTTTAAAAAGATATGCTTTTAAATATTTAAAACATAGACTTGTTTAAATAATATTTAATGATATTTAAGTTATGTTTTGGCAAAATAAACTGAATTTAATCTACATATTGTGTATTTACTTTTATATGAATGCAGTTAAATTATTGACAGCTTGTAAGTGTTCTCCCTTGCACCTGCCTGTAGGATTGTTTAATCCACACATGGTACATCAACATTATAAAAGCTTTTGTATTCTTAGGGAATTGGTGTTCCTTTGAATAGAGGGTGTGCTTTCTACTGCTGTGTTTAGTGTTATTTTATGGCTGTGGCATTTTAAAAGAAAAAATAGATATGTGTTTTTAAATACATTACTCCAATTTGGGGTCACGTTAATCTGAAGGTGAAACCCCAGAGCAAAAGGTAATAGAGTATAGGATCACCCTGCAGGAATGTCTTGTGGCTAGGCTAGACTCAGCTAAGGTTCTAGAAGAATGTGGTAGGACATGCCAGGCCCCTCTAGTCCTCTGGTTCAAGCCCTCCCATCAGCTGCCCTCATTCGTTAGCTTCTCTAAGCCTATTTTTTCTCACCACACCCAACTTTTTCCAGAGTCCCTTTATGACCTCATGCAACAGTCTAGAGACTATTCTCTCAGACCTTTGCCATGTAATAAATTCTGAAGCCCAGAGTGGTCATCATATTAAGACTGACAAAAAGCAACAAGGAAAGCTAGCCATCTCTGTCCTATATCTACTGGGAATTTCCTATGAAGATGGCTCTCCAACATACCTGCTGTAGGCATGATAGACCACAAATGCACAGTGTCCTTCTGAGTTCCCCAGGAAAGAGGGGAGGGTATTGAGTCGGAGAAAGGAATCTAGCCAGCTGCATGCCCCAAAACTGGAGGAATTGGTGGTAGGCATTAGAAATAAAAGGTTGGAGCCATATTGCAGGGACTCTTGAACTGCAGGATGGGAAACCAGTACGAACTCAGTAAGTGGTCTCACAGTGTAAGGACAAGGACACACTGAGAGGCAGTAAAAAAGAGGAGTTGTCAGGTCTGAGCACAGGATGCCATGAGGAAGGAAGGGCCTAGGAGCAGCCACTGTAATGGCACAGGAAGACCTCAACAGTCTAAAATGGGTACCAGCAAGGGTGAAATCAGAAATAACAAGGCCAAGAGAGCAATGCTGTGTGGAATGCTGTAGAAGGGAAACAAAGAACCCTAAAAATGAACTCATCCCTTATAGCCTCACACAGTAGGTGCGTAAGGGCTGGCTGTTCTTAGACTCAGAATTAATTTAGTAGTGTTGTGGTCTGAATGTCTGTGCTGCTTCGAGATTCACACTGGAATATAGCCCTAGCTATTTGTGTTGAATGTGTATGCTCTTTGAAGAGAGTAAGGCTCCTTCCTTTACAAGTCAAAAGAGAAGGCCCAAACAACTTAGCATGGCCACTAGTATTGTCACCTGGATACATCCAAGCACATCAGATTCAGAATGGAAATATGTTGTGTGCCAATGGGGCAAGGCACACAGAACAACCACAATGATTCATCACTATACCTACAAACCACTCCTAGCATCAATCTATTCACAAGGGTAAAGATCCCAACACCAAAGTTTCCTCAAACTCAGCCCCAATACTTATTGGCTCCTTCACCATCTCACCCTACCATCCTAGAGACCAAGCTTCCAGCATGTATCCCCTGAAAAGAGCCATATAGAAACCACAACATTCATTGTGGTGAGGTTCAAAGGGCGGGGGCCTTCAGCAGATGATGGAGTCAGGGAGTGTCTGCCTTCTTCATAAGTGACATCAATGTTAATAAGAGAGGTTTGGGGAATTGTTTTGCTTTCTCACTGTGGGAGAACACACAGAAGGTGTGCAGAGTCAATACAGACCAGACATCAACCTTGCTGATACCTTGATCTTCAACATCAACAAATCCAAACACTGAGCAATCAATCTCCTCTTATAAGTCATTATGTCTAGGGTAATTATGTTTTAATAGTAGAACTAGACTGATATATTTGTTATGGCATGCTGAGAAATGTCCCTCCTCGGCTCAAGTGTTGAACGCTTGTTCCCTAGCCAGTGGCATATTTGAGGGTGATGGTGCAACATTTAGGGAAGGAATAAAAACTAGAGGTGAGTGAGATGGAGTAGGTCATTGGGAGGTAATGACCCACCATTTTTCCTGTCTGCTGCTGAAGCGTAGCCAGCCCCACATTCCCAAGACTATAGACCATGCTGTTCTGATCACAGTGCTATCCAAAATCCATGATGTACTGTGCTCTCTGGAACTGTAAGCCAAAATAAACCCATCCTCCTCGAGTGCTTCTGCCAGGTATCATAGGGAGGTTTCAGAATGGTCAGGAGAAAGAAAAATTAGTGGGTAAGATGCTTGGTCCACCATGAGAACCTGAGTTCAGATCCTCCAGCTCTTACATAAAGAACCAGCTATGGTAGCACCCATCTGCATCTCCATTCACAGGAAGAGAAACTAATAGAGGTAAACTTTGTCCTGACCCCTAACACCTGAGAATTCATGAGCATCCTTTTAAAGGGAAGGAATCCTCTCCTCAGTGTTCTTTCTCCTCCAGTCATGTATTTATGTGTGGCATATGTGTTTGTGCATGACTGTGTGCACCATAAACCTAAACCAGGCAGAAAAATAAAAGAAAAACAAGAGCATAGATAAATAATAGACAAAAATCAATGAGTCCAAAGTTGAGTCTTTGAAAAGACTTCATCTAGGACAGCCACATGAAATAACCAAAGGCACCAATTACTATCGTTAGAAATGCTAGAAGGGCTATCTCTACCACTGCCCTAGACAAGACAGGATCAGGGAGAATAATAGATTTATTAAGAACTCTTGGTTCAGAACTAGAAGGCATATAAAAAGCCATTCAGTTTCTTGAAATACATACTCTGCCAAAACTTGCATAGAGAAATGGGAATAATCAAGATATGTCTTTATCCATTACATAAATTGTGTAAATAATAGCCTTCCAATGCTGAAAGCACAACATCTCCAAGCAGATTATACCAATGAATTCTATTGAGCACTGAAGCTGTAAATGATGCCCATACTTAACAACTGGTTCCAAAGCTTAAAAGCAGAAGGAAAACTTGCAAATTTACTCTCTGAGGCCAGGAAGATCCACAAAGGCAGAGACATGCTGTGCTGAGGTTATAAGTAAGAAGAGTCAATTCTGTCATCTGTTTCCTCTTCCCGACCTATCAGAAGTCACATAATATAACACAGAAAAGTATGGGCCAGACACACCCTCCTTGCCACTGAGTCCTGGTCATAACCAGGCTCATGGAAGGTAATCTGTCACAAAGAATGAAGTGTAGAAGTGATTGAGGAAGACATTACAATGTCAACCTCTAACCACACACAAACCCACAGGTGTGAACAACTACACATGCATTAGCAGATACCAATGGAAGACACGCACATGTACTACACCACACATTCACACATGCATACATATATGCACATATCCATACATATAAATATGATCTCAAAGAAAAAAGTATTAAAAAGTCAATAGTGTAACATTTTACTTTAATCAGCTGTAGGACAAGAGGTCACATGATTTCATCAATAGACATTTAAAAGCATTTAACAGAAGTGCATAACCACCAGGGTTCTAAAACCAAAAACACCTCCCAACACACTTGGAACAGAAGCAGCTTCTTACACCTAATAAACATCTACAATGACCTGTAGTGGATTCCACACTCACTACAGATGCTGTTCTCTCCAGACTGAGCCTAGCAGAGCAAGGACACTCGCTCTCACCACTGCGGTGCGCATCAGTGGAAGTCTGCGTGACTCATGGACAGGAAAACAGTGAGACACATAGACGGAAGGAGGAAGTTAAGCTGCCTTTAAAAAAAGCATGATTGACCTTTGCAGAGAATCAATAACAGATACCAAAAGTAAACTCTTATAAATAGTTCATGATCAAATAAGGATTTCAGAATTGACAAAGAATGTGGATTGGTGAGTAAACCATTTGGTATTCAAAGATAAGACCCCAAGTTTGGATCCCACAGTTCCCACATTCAAAAAAATCAAAATGGTAACATCCATATGCAATGCCACTAAATGGGTATATTATGGAGCCTTGCTGGCTAGCCAGTCTACCAAAGTCAGCAAGATTCAGGTTGGGGGCACAAACCATGTCTAAAACAATAGGATAGGAAATGAAGAAGATACACAGCTTCAACCTCTTGTCTATCAGTCTCTAAGCTCTTCCCCAGATGACCTCCTTATTCAATACATTTTTCAGTCAAAACCCCAGCAAGTTCTCTGATAGATATTGACAAACCGGTTCTAAAGTTTACACAGAGAGGCAGAATATCCAGACAACACAGTGATGAAAAATAAAAGTCAGAGGACTCACATTACCTGACATTGACGCTTTTCACATAGACACAAACATAAAGATGCCGTAGTACTAACTGCATGATAGAAATTAAATCAATGATACCGAAAAAGATCCATACAAATTGTCATTGAAAAGTAGCAGGGATATAGAGCAAGCCAAGAGCCAACATCAAACTAAATGGAGAGAAACTCAGAGAGATCCCACTGAAATCAGGAACAAGACAAGGTTGTCCACTCTCTACATATCTATTCAATATAGTACTTGAGGTTCTAGCTAGAGCAATAAGACAAGGGGCACCAAATTGGAAAAGATGTCAAACTCTCACTATTTGCTGATGTTATGATAGTTTACATAAGTGACCCCAAACATTTTACCAGGGAACTTCTACAACTCATAAACACCTTCATTAATGAAGCAGGATACAAGATTAACTCGCAAAAATAATCAGTAGCCCTCCTTTACACAGAGGATACACGGATTGAGAAAGAAATCAGAGAAACATCACCCTTCACAATAGCCACAAATAACATAAAATATCTTGGAGCAACTCTAACTCAACAA